TGGATGCGGAAGTTGGATGCGGTGCAGTTTGTCGTTGTTCGGGAAGGCACGCATTGCCACAGCCCCACCGGATGATGCTTGATACCTCGCTGCTAAGCTGGCCATGACACCCGTCCGGTGCTTTGCAGCTGCTTCCAGGAAGAATCGGGAGTGGTGTTGCACACGGTCGCTCAGTGATGCTGATACTTCTTCTGCCAAGAATGTTGAAGCATACTGCCGACCGTCCTGTGCTTGGCGTGTTTCGACCAGATTGTGCTGCAACACAGTCCGATCAGAACGCTCCTCACCAAGATCGGACTGAGGTGGGTCGGCTGGACCTTGGAAGACACTCGTCATTCTCTCGGCGTGCTACGCATGACTTCATGAAGCACAAGGATTTATTCCAAAAGTGGCTTTCCCTTCGCTTGACTATGGCACAAACACGGGGCTTCGCATCATCTTGACCTGGAAAACGATGTCGCACACGGCTTGCGGTCATGCGCAGATTCGCAGTAGCCAAGCTGCCGGCAGCAAGCACAAGCACTTTTTCCGGCCACTGATCTCTCGCAAGGCTGAAGGCAAGGCAGGCGCACATCTGCCGTTTTCACGGGCTTGCCCACGTGCGGGGAGTTCCTGAGAACAGTTCGGTTCCAAGACTCGGAGTATGAAAAAGAGCTGTCACAGATCTCGGGTCGCGTTTGGCTCGGACAGCAAACGAAAGACCAAACAGTCTTGGAGATCACAGTCTTGAAGATCAGGCGCAGGCTTGTTTTCTTGCACCCTGTACATATAAAATTTCCGATTGTTAATCTAAAGGTTCATCTTGAAGTGAGGGTGTGAGCTGTGAATCCACGCGCTGACCGAAAGGCACTTGGCACACCCACGGCCAGCTTGGACAGAGGTTTCTCCCAGAGAGGGGAACATGAAGGCAGCCAGTCTCGCGGCACAAGGCTTCTGCTAGTGCCTGCTGGGAAGCTGCTTGCAGTCTTAGCGACATGTCAGCTCTGAGATCCGAAGCTCCACTGGTGCTTCAGTGACACATGATGTGTTCTGCCAGAAGTATCCCACAGAAAGACGACGAAGAGCTGTCAGAGGAGAAGGCCTATGAATCAGAGAGTCATATCCCGCCAAGTACCGGAGTTGAAGACGGTGTCCTCGGAAAGCTACGGAATCAACATTGCTGACGTCAGTGTCGACCCAGAAACTCTTGGGGCGCACAAGGGCTCAATTTAGCGACGCGCGTTGCAGCTAGCGTGGATAATTTGGAGCGTATCGGGTCGTCGCCGGAGGTGTGGTGGCTTAGAGTTCGTTCGTTTCATCCAGTCGTGAATGACTAACTGCAGGATTCGTGCCCATGTGTCATAGTGCACGTCGCTGGGGGCCGCACTGCCTTAGATGAGCTGTGGTCACGGCCACTTTCCAAATGGAAGGAAGCGATTTCTAGTTTTTGCTTCGGTGCCTGACTGCTGGTACCGTACATGCCCACGTGTCACCAAACACGGGGGTACCCCTCCTTCCAGACGCGTGGTGCGCATTTGCATGGCAGATGCCCCATTTCGAGAAGCTGGAAGCCTGCGACGCCATCGCCAACGCGGTGCAGCGCTGCAGAAACAGACGCCACTGTGCTCGGTTTTCTCAAGCTGTTGGCACAGGCACACGGAGCAGCACACACCCTCCGGCAGCGCTGGCCAAGGATGGTCCTGTCCTCGCTAGCCGCACGTGGCCATATCAACGAAGCTGCACTGACGCGACTGCCCATCATCGAGCGCTCACTCAATGGCGGCGTAATCAGACTCAACTAGAGCCCTAGATTCAGCTCAACTCAGCTAGACCCAAGAGCAAACTAGCTGCCGCTGATGGCCAGCGCCCGAGCTGTCATTCAACGTGAAATCTGCCTTTGCAAGTTGGATGCGGAAGTTGGATGCGGTGCAGTTTGTCGTTGTTCGGGAAGGCACGCATTGCCACAGCCCCACCGGATGATGCTTGATACCTCGCTGCTAAGCTGGCCATGACACCCGTCCGGTGCTTTGCAGCTGCTTCCAGAAAGAATCGGGAGTGGTGTTGCACACGGTCGCCCATTGATACTGATATTTCTTCTGCTAAAAGTGTTGAAGCATACTGCCGACCGTCCTGTGCTTGGCGTGTTTCGACCAGATTGTGCTGCAACACAGTCCGATCAGAATGCTCCTCACCAAGATCGGACTGAGGTGGGTCGGCTGGACCTTGGAAGACACTCGTCATTCTCTCGGCGTGCTACGCATGACTTCATGAAGCACAGGGATTTATTCCAAAAGTGGCTTTCCCTTCGCTTGACTGTGGCACAAACACGGGGCTTCGCATCATCTTGACCTGGAAAACGATGTCGCACACGGCGTGTGGTCATGCGCAGATTCGCAGTATCAGTAGCCCAGCTGCCAGAGGCAATGCGACAGGAGCCCACCGGAAGTTTGCTGTTGGTCAACCATGTGAGACACCGGAGTTGCGGAGCCTCGTAGCCATGACAGCTCCCAGGGACATCAGGCATTGGCAGCTCCATGTTCCATCCCCCCTAGTCCTAACACGCTGGGGATGTCGGCTGGACCTTGGAAGACACTCGTCATTATCTCGGCGTGCTGCGCATGACTTCATGCCGATCAACAGGATGTCGCACAGCTTCGCAAAGCTCCAGCTGCCGATAGGAGCCCACCGGAAGTTTGTCCGGATGCAAAACCAGGCAGTTAAGAGTCCAGCACGAAGCCGGACATCGCGTGCCTGCGTGACGCCAGTCATGACATCACCCAATATGCCGGACCATCTGCGTATCCTGCGAGGGCTGTGCACAATGCAGCTCCTTGCATTGATCTGCGATTCGGGCTGTGATTTGATCAGGTGCCGTGAGGTTGCTTTGCCCCGCAGGTGTCCGCATGCGTTGTTCGGGCACGCGATCACGTGCTTGAGTCAGGCTCGCGCTCGTGGGCAGCAGAACTTGAGCCTTCGCAGTCAGCGGTGGCAGCCGCTCGCCAAGCCCGCTCTTGGATGTAAAGCACTGCTGTTCAGCTCCGATCGCCCACTGACTGCTTCGATATGGAAGCCATGGCATCAAGGAGATCCTGCCGACGACAGACTTGTAGCCATCCACCCAACTTTCATGTTGAGATGGAAGAACCTCATGGGCTGAAGACGGACGCCTTTTTCGGGCTCACGGTTGAATAGCAAGAGTTGAAGGCAGACTGCCTCCATACCATGGACCCTTGCAGGTTTTGAGCATGAAAGCTTCGAATCGTGCCTGGGTAGAGTTGAGACTGCTCCATAGTTCATGTCAAGCCTCGCATTCGAGCAGGGCCATCCAACAAGCTTGGGCGTCGGATGTGTGCGTTGTGGGCCTGACATGCAGCAGCACCTTGCACCTCATACCCCAAACCGGCACGCCCCAACTGCAAGAGGATCCGTGTTTCAACAACCAGCTCAACAAACCCAACAAGGTAGGTTTCTCCTGCCGAATAGATGGAAGCAGAGTCGGAACCACCCAGCACAAGGTTCTCAAAGCTGCTGGAAAGCGATGCTCACGCCTGAGGCCACAAGCGTTGCGACAAGCCCGGATTCTCAGCCCAGCTGCCGGCAGCAAGCACAGGCACTTTTTTCGACCACTGATCTCTCGTAAGGCTGAAGGCGAGGCAGGTGTACACCTGCCGTCTTTACAGGCTTGCCCACGTGCGGGGAGCTCTTGAGAACAGTTCGGTTCCAAGACCCGCAGTACGAAAAAGAGCTATCGCAGAACTTGGTTCGCGTTTGGCTTGGACAGAAAACGAAAGACCGGACGGTCTTGAAGGTCAGGCGCAGGCTTGTTTTCTCGCACCCTGTACATATAAAATTTCCGATTGTTAATCTAAAGGTTCATCTTGAAGTGAGGGTGTGAGCTGTGAATCCACGCGCTGACCGAAAGGCACTTGGCACACCCACGGCCAGCTTGGACAGAGGTTTCTCCCAGAGAGGGGAACATGAAGGCAGCCAGTCTCGCGGCACAAGGCTTCTGCTAGTGCCTGCTGGGGAGCTGCTTGCAGTCTTAGCGACATGTCAGCTCTGAGATCCGAAGCTCCACTGGTGCTTCAGTGACACATGATGTGATCTGCCAGAAGTATCCCACAGAAAGACGACGAAGAGCTGTCAGAGGAGAAGGCCTATGAATCAGAGAGTCATATCCCACCAAGTACAGGAGCAAGCTAGCTGTCATTGACGGCCAACACCCCAGCTGCCATTCTCGGTTACATCTGTCTTGGCAAATTGCATGCGGTACAGTTTGTCGTTGTTCGGGAAGGCACGTATTGCCACAGCCTCACCTGATGATGCTTGATACCTCGCTGCTAAGCTGGCCATGACACCCGTCCGGTGCTGGTGTTGCACACGGTCGCCCATTGATACTGATGTTTCTTCTGCCAAGAGTGTTGAAGCACACTGCCGACCGTCTTGTGCTTGGCGTGGTTCGACCAGATTGTGCTCCAACACAGTCCGATCAGACCGCTCCTCACCAAGATCGGACTGAGGTGGGTCGGTGGATCCCCCACCTTTGTAAATGGAGGGAGGCACGGTCTCGGGTCCTGATGTGCCAATGTCCGTCTCCATTTTTGGGTTTGTTTGGCTGGTTGGCTTTGAGGCTCAGGTTAGATGGCTGGCAGGACCATCGACGCATGAAAATCTATTTTCCTTCCTCGCCTGTGTATGCTGTTGGTCAACCATGTGAGACACCGGAGTTGCGGAGCCTCGTAGCCATGACAGCTCCCAGGGACATCAGACATTGGCAGCTCCATTTTCCATCCCCCCTAGTCCTAACACGCTGGGGATGTCGGCTGGACCTTGGAAGACACTCGTCATTATCTCGGCGTGCTGCGCATGACTTCATGCCGATCAACAGGATGTCGCACAGCTTCGCAAAGCTCCAGCTGCCGATAGGAGCCCACCGGAAGTTTGTCCGGATGCAAAACCAGGCAGTTGAGAGTCCAGCACGAAGCCGGACATCGCGTGCCTGCGTGACGCCAGTCATGACATCACCCAATATGCCGGACCATCTGCGTATCCTGCGAGGGCTGTGCACAATGCAGCTCCTTGCATTGATCTGCGATTCGGGCTGTGATTTGATCAGGTGCCGTGAGGTTGCTTTGCCCCGCAGGTGTCCGCATGCGTTGTTCGGGCACGCGATCACGTGCTTGAGTCAGGCTCGCGCTCGTGGGCAGCAGAACTTGAGCCTTCGCAGTCAGCGGTGGCAGCCGCTCGCCAAGCCCGCTCTTGGATGTAAAGCACTGCTGTTCAGCTCCGATCGCCCACTGACTGCTTCGATATGGAAGCCATGGCATCAAGGAGATCCTGCCGACGACAGACTTGTAGCCATCCACCCAACTTTCATGTTGAGATGGAAGAACCTCATGGGCTGAAGACGGACGCCTTTTTCGGGCTCACGGTTGAATAGCAAGAGTTGAAGGCAGACTGCCTCCATACCATGGACCCTTGCAGGTTTTGAGCATGAAAGCTTCGAATCGTGCCTGGGTAGAGTTGAGACTGCTCCATAGTTCATGCCAAGCCTCGCAGGACGCAAATTCACGCAGAGCCATCCAACAAGCTTGGGAGTCGGATGTGTGCGTTGTGGGCCTGACATGCAGCAGCACCTTGCACCTCATACCCCAAGCCGGCACGCCCCAACTGCAAGAGGATCGTGGTCAACACTTGGCGATTCATGGTTCCACCTTTGGGGGTGTTCCCCGCCATTGGCACAAGATTGTCCTCAAGTCCATGCCCCTGTCCATGGAGAGTGACTTTGGCATTCTTGTGGCTCGAAGATTGCCACCAGCACACCAGCCTCTGTAGCATGCGGGCGATGTTGCGCAGGCACTGCGCAAGCCGTGCCTGCAAGCCCGGAACTCTTGTGGCCTCCGTAGCCGCCTGGCGTCAGCAGGGTGGAGGGTGCTACAGAGGCTTCAGGCTTTCATGGCTGGAAACTTAGACAAAAAGTTCTCTCAAAGCCCCTTTCGCTGGAAAGTTTGCGCTTTCAACGCCCGGGCTCGGGCCACAGCCCGACATCATTCCTGGAACTGCCGTGCAAGCACCAAGCTTTGAGAAAGCTTTGAGATGGCCAGGTTGCTCACCGAATGCAAGGGCAAAGCTCGAGATACATCCCACACACCCACGCTCGCCTTCCACAGGGCCTGACAATGTGGCCCTTCTGCTGAGCTCCCAGCTCCAGTTGCCACTAGCTGCTTACAGCTCGCAGCTCCCGCGAGGAGAAAAAAAAGATGCAAAGCGGACACCATGGTCCTAGTGGAAGCCCTCGTGAAACCACTTGGTCTTCTAGTGACGCTTGACCTGCCGGCAGAGCCCCGAAGTTCGACAATGCGAACCTGGCAGAGGAGAAGGTCTGTGAATCAAACAGGCTCATCCCGTCAGGTTTTCAAGCAAGCTAGCTGCTGCTGAAAACCAACTCCTCAGCTACCATTCAGGGTGAAACCGTCCTTCTGAAGGCTGATGCATTGCAATTGCCTGTCGATCGAGGGTCACATTGCCACGGAACCTTTTTCCCGTCCGTGTTGCCAAATTTGGCTTTCCACCACTCCCAGATTGTCAGCCACTTTCAACGACCAAGCCTGTCAAAGTGTTGCACGCCGCGGTTTTCTAAATCTGACGCGGCAGCATCCATGAAGCTCAACAGCCATTAGATGTCCTTAAACATCCCACTCCGGCGGGTTCTTTCTCACTTGATTCTGATAGTTTGGCTTTTTCTGTTGGTCTAGCTTTGACGGTCACAGGCAGGATAGTCTCTTTTCCGAAGTGTTCGCCTTACTGAGCTCACTGTCGACATAGGCGTCCACCAGAAAGTGTCGCGCGAGTACTGGGAGATGTTTTTGGTCGGCTCAGCACTACCATGCTGAAAACTGGTAACCGGTGTTCCAGCTTCCAAGTAAATCACGATTGGTTCCACCTTGGGGGGTGTTCCCCGCCATTGGCACAAGATTGTCCTCAAGTCCATGCCCCTGTCCATGGAGAGTGACTTTGGCATTCTTGTGGCTCGAAGATTGCCACCAGCACACCAGCCTCTGTAGCATGCGGGCGATGTTGCGCAGGCCCTGCGCAGGCACTGCGCAAGCCGTGCCTGCAAGCCCGGAACTCTTGTGGCCTCCGTAGCCGCCTGGCGTCAGCAGGGCGGAGGGTGCTACAGAGGCTTCAGGCTTTCATGGCTGGAAACTTAGACAAAAAGTTCTCTCAAAGCCCCTTTCGCTGGAAAGTTTGCGCTTTCAACGCCCGGGCTCGGGCCACAGCCCGACATCATTCCTGGAACTGCCGCGCAAGCACCAAGCTTTGAGAAAGCTTTGAGATGGCCAGGTTGCTCACCGAATGCAAGGGCAAAGCTCGAGATACATCCCACACACCCACGCTCGCCTTCCACAGGGCCTGACAATGTGGCCCTTCTGCTGAGCTCCCAGCTCCAGTTGCCACTAGCTGCTTACAGCTCGCAGCTCCCGCGAGGAGAAAAAAAAGATGCAAAGCGGACACCATGGTCCTAGTGGAAGCCCTCGTGAAACCACTTGGTCTTCTAGTGACGCTTGACCTGCCGGCAGGGCCCCGAAGTTCGATTGAGGTTGTTGGTGACCGAGGCATCTGAGTGGACTGTGAGCGCGTGCCATAGCAGGAGCCTTTCCGTCTGTGTTGCCAACTTGCCTTTCCACCACCACTGAGGATATCTTCACGCACGGGCCATTCCCAGATTGTCAGCCACTTTCACCGACCAAGCCTGTCAAAGTGTTGCACGCCGCAGTTTTCTAAATCTGACGCGGCAGCATCCATGAAGCTCAACAGCCCTTAGATGTCCTTAAACATCCCACTCCGGCGGGTTCTTTCTCACTTGATTCTGATAGTTTGGCTTTTTCTGTTGGTCTAGCTTTGACGGTCACAGGCAGGATAGTCTCTTTTCCGAAGTGTTCGTCTTACTGAGCTCACTGTCGACATAGGCGTCCACCAGAAAGTGTCGCGCGAGTACTGGGAGATGTTTTTGGTCGGCTCAGCACTACCATGCTGAAAACTGGTAACCGGTGTTCCAGCTTCCAAGTAAATCACGATTGGTTCCACCTTGGGGGGTGTTCCCCGCCATTGGCACAAGATTGTCCTCAAGTCCATGCCCCTGTCCATGGAGAGTGACTTTGGCATTCTTGTGGCTCGAAGATTGCCACCAGCACACCAGCCTCTGTAGCATGCGGGCGATGTTGCGCAGGCCCTGCGCAGGCACTGCGCAAGCCGTGCCTGCAAGCCCGGAACTCTTGTGGCCTCCGTAGCCGCCTGGCGTCAGCAGGGTGGAGGGTGCTACAGAGGCTTCAGGCTTTCATGGCTGGAAACTTAGACAAAAAGTTCTCTCAAAGCCCCTTTCGCTGGAAAGTTTGCGCTTTCAACGCCCGGGCTCGGGCCACAGCCCGACATCATTCCTGGAACTGCCGCGCAAGCACCAAGCTTTGAGAAAGCTTTGAGATGGCCAGGTTGCTCACCGAATGCAAGGGCAAAGCTCGAGATACATCCCACACACCCACGCTCGCCTTCCACAGGGCCTGACAATGTGGCCCTTCTGCTGAGCTCCCAGCTCCAGTTGCCACTAGCTGCTTACAGCTCGCAGCTCCCGCGAGGAGAAAAAAAAGATGCAAAGCGGACACCATGGTCCTAGTGGAAGCCCTCGTGAAACCACTTGGTCTTCTAGTGACGCTTGACCTGCCGGCAGAGCCCCGAAGTTCGACAATGCGAACCTGGCAGAGGAGAAGGTCTGTGAATCAAACAGGCTCATCCCGTCTGAAAACCACCCCAGCTTCCATTCAGGGCGAAACCGTCCTGTGGAAGGCTGATGCAGCATGAAGCAGCGTTCATCTCGCACAATTGCATAAGTCGCCTCTCTGTGTCTGTGTGCTCGAAGGCCGTTGCAAACGCAATCCCAGACATCTAAGTCATGTGCATGCATCCGTGTATGAGGCTTTGCCAGTTGCGAGCCGCATAGCCTTAACACGAGTCAGTGAGATGATTCAGGTTGTTGGTGACCGAGGCCTCTAAGTGGACTGTGAAGGCGTGCCATAGCAGGAGCCTTTCCGTCTGTGTTGCCAAATATGGCTTTCCACCACCACTGAGGATATGCACTTCACGCATTGGCCATTCCCAGATTGTCAGCCACTTTCAACGACCAAGCCTGTCAAAGTGTTGCACGCCGCGGTTTTCTAAATCTGACGCGGCAGCATCCATGAAGCTCAACAGCCCTTAGATGTCCTTAAACATCCCACTCCGGCGGGTTCTTTCTCACTTGATTCTGATAGTTTTGTTTTTTCTGTTGGTCTAGCTTTGACGGTCACAGGCAGGATAGTCTCTTTTCCGAAGTGTTCGCCTTACTGAGCTCACTGTCGACATAGGCGTCCACCAGAAAGTGTCGCGCGAGTACTGGGAGATGTTTTGGTCGGCTCAGCACTACCATGCTGAAAACTGGTAACCGGTGTTCCAGCTTCCAAGTAAATCACGATTGGTTCCACCTTGGGGGGTGTTCCCCGCCATTGGCACAAGATTGTCCTCAAGTCCATGCCCCTGTCCATGGAGAGTGACTTTGGCATTCTTGTGGCTCGAAGATTGCCACCAGCACACCAGCCTCTGTAGCATGCGGGCGATGTTGCGCAGGCCCTGCGCAGGCACTGCGCAAGCCGTGCCTGCAAGCCCGGAACTCTTGTGGCCTCCGTAGCCTCCTGGCGTCAGCAGGGTGGAGGGTGCTACAGAGGCTTCAGGCTTTCATGGCTGGAAACTTAGACCAAAAGTTCTCTCGAAGCCCCTTTCGCTGGAAAGTTTGCGCTTTAAACGCCCGGGCTCGGGCCAGGAACTGCCGCGCAAGCACCAAGCTTTGAGAAGGCTGTAGGCAAAGCTCGAGATACATCCCCTACGCGGCCGTGGCCCTTCTGCTGAGCTCCCAGCTCCAGTTGCCAGCGGACACCGTGGTCCCAGTGGAAGCCCTCGTGAAACCACTTGGCCTGTAGCACCCCTAAGTCCGTCTATGTGGACCTGCTGAGGAGAAGGCTTATGAATCAGGTGCATCCCGCCAGGTACAGAAGCAAGCCAGCTGACCTGACGCACTACACTTGCAGCAGCCTTGCAGGATGATGCTTGATACCTCACCGCTAAGTTGGTCATGAAAGCCGCCTCGTGCTCCGCAGCTTCCTTCAGAAGAATCGGGCGCAGTATGAAGCAGTGTTCAGCAAAGCCCTCCATGGCTACAGTGCTTCTTCCAACATATTTTGGAATGAGTCGCAGCTCTGTGTGCTCGAAGGCCCCCCTCTGCAAGCACGATCCCAGGCATCTCCCTCAACCATACACTGCTGGATGCTTCGCCAAGTGCATCCGCGTCTGAGGCTTTGCCAGTTGCGAGCCACATAGTCTTCTCACTGACATGACTCAAGTTGTTGGTGACCGAGGCCTCTGAGTGGACTGTGAACGCGTGCCATGGCAGGAGCTTTTCCGTCTGTGCTGTCAACTTGCCTTTCCACCACCACTGAAGATATCTACTTCACGCACGGGCCATTCCCAGATTGTCAACCGCTTTCACCGACCAAGCCTTCCCACTCCAGCGGGTTCTTGTTCTCTTGAAAGGCGCCCCTGCTATTCTAGCTTCCAGGCAGACGGCCATTTTACACTCAAAACCCATGCTAAACTCAAAGCAGCCTTGGTACAACGTTCTAAAGAGGCTTTGCAAGTTGTTGCAAGACTGTGAAAGGAAGTTGTTTAGTATGGTAAGCGTACAGGATGTTGCACAGTGCAGGCTCAAATACTTGTGTCTTATACAGCCTAAAAAGAGCTTAGTGCATGCAAGCGGTCAGAGATTGCTCGGAAACCACTTGGGACCGTGGACGGAGCAACACCTAAAGTCTTGAAGGAGGCTTCAGGCTAGACGCTCTTTGGCTTTGAATTGTGTCTGAGATGCTTCACTGTCCTTTGCCAGCACAAAGATTGCTTGCACTCTGCAGCGCGAGTCTACGTTGGAAGCTTGTGCTCTGTGATGGACCGCGGCTTCAACATAGAACTCACGCATCAGGGGAATGCTAGGACTACAGTATGCCTGGGCCTTGCTCCGAGGACCATGCACACAAGTTTGACCCGCACTTCAAGTTGCATGTATGCTGCGTATCCTGCTGGGGATATGTGCATACTGACGGCATGCTGAATCACACCGCGCCAAGCTGGCCAAGGCCTTGTTTCGCTTGCCTCGGGTGCCGATTTGGCCTAACATGTTTGCTGCACGGCGGTATCTTCTCCACGAAAGGTGCGGTTGCACGGGTTGTCGGGCCTGCACATTTCATGCAAACATGAAGAGGTGAGGCCCCAAAACCATGCAATGCGCTGTGGCCGGCGACAGAAGTGCAAGCCAACTGTGAGTATGTGGCATTGCTTCGCATCGCGGCAGCGTTGCTTCGTCAAAGCTGCTAGCAGAATAATTTGCTAAGATTGCTGGACTCCCACCAGCCTTGCAGGAGCGACACTACTTCGGCTTGACAGGATAGCCGAGCCGAAGCACGAAGCCAGCATGCAACCTTTGCGCTGATACATTCAGATGCTGCGTGACGAACTCTGGCCATGCCCGCCTCTCAAGCATAGCCATAGCCAGCACAGCAGCCAGAAGGCGGTTCATCCTCTCGTCTGCCAGTGACTGCGCACGAACGCAGTATCGCCTTCAGCTCCTGGTCGGCACATGCGCTGCTTACGCCGCCAGAGCCACCTCCCACAGATGCCATGCTTGCCATGCTTGCTGGTTCTGCCGCATCTCAGAGCAGCCGTTCAATCCGAGTTTCCGAGACGGTAGCACACGTAGAGCAAGCATCGAGCGAGAGCAGGGAGCTTGGGACCTCACCGCCATGGCATTCGCATGGAACTGGTGCAAAAGAAAGGAAAGTAAGCAATCAATTGTACCGTTACTTGGGGTATGAATTCTTGCAATGTTTGAGTTTCACGTTCAATTTCCTCTCAAGAGGGGCTTATCGTCTTGACCACACACACACACATATATATATATACATATATGTATATTATATATATATATATACATATCAGATATACACACAATCTGCGAGCCATGGAATTGTTGCAACTTACGCCACATTCTTAGGTGTAGCGTAGCTAAGAGCTAAAGCTTTGACGATGGCTTGCTCACTATGTCCCGCCGCAGCTGGATCACTGGCTCAAAGAACTGCCTGATCACCCAGGCAGCAATTTCCGTGTTTACTTTCTGCGAACTTCTTAACAGACACTCGGATCAAGCCGTGAGGAGGCCAGGATCTCAGTTGCTCGGAGGTTCATGGTACTTACTAACCAATTCTAACTGTACTTATGACTGTACTTATCGCCATATTCGGGCACTTAAGGGGCTTACAAGTGGGTTGTAAGTACAGTTATGATTAGTTAATAAGTACCATTGAACCTCCAAGAGGTGGACATAGCTCAAGCAAGAATAGTGTCTTCAGGAAAGCGGACACGGCACAGTCTTGTTTACAGATAAGATCACTACAATCGCAGAAATCTCCTGAATTGTTTCGTCCCTTTGTCCCAAAGCAGCGCGAGAGACACTACAACAACACAAACATACAGCGCAAAGCTGTAAGCTCACCCATTAGCACTTCTTGGAAGCGTCCATCCACAGGGTGCACTCTATGATCACCGTGTCCCTAAACCCTAAACTAGGGCAGCCGTTTTTGAACTTAAATGATGCGGAGAGATGCGGAGAGCAGCGGCGCTAAGGAGGTAATGCGCCATGCTTGGGCACTGGCCCTGGCCGGGAACTCGTGTGTGGAACACTTTTGCAGAATGCAACAAGACAGCATATTATAGCATATTATGGTATATTACGGTTATAGTATGTTATAGTATCTTGTAGTGTAGTATGGTACGCCTTATGCGCAGTTCCGTTGTCAGATCACGCTTCGAGCTGCAGCAATGCGAGATGTCGGAGTGGAGGCCGCCTGGCGCACATGATTTCTTGATGGGTTCATAGGTTTTTTTGTGGACACTCTCTTCCTTGGCCGACTCCCAAAGCCCCCATGTTGCGCAGGAAAAGCTCGAAGTTGAGTCAGACAAATCACGGGGTGCATGGAAGATCGACCTCGCCACTGGGCTTTACAGTTCTGGCAAGCACTGCACGTGACTGTCTGCATGGTGAGATGCATGGACCTGCTGAGGACAACCCAGTCGATGCTGCATCGCAAGCTCGATCTGTCGGCATGGAGGCTTCATAACACAGATTGTTTACTGACGGATTCATATGGTTTTTTTGGACTGCATGGTGAGATGGATTGACCTGCTACGGCTGAGGACAACCCACTCGAAGCTGCATCACGAGCTCGAGCAGCTGAGCTGGACGCCTTGCAGAAGGCTTGTCAATCGAACACTGTTCGCCGCAGTACTTGCTGGCACCTGGTGGAAGGCCCAGGACCTGGAGAGACTCGCAGCAGTTGCGGAGCTCCATGTAATGGACCCCAGTGTTGTGTGTTGTCTCTCTCTCCATGCGTGCATGATCATGAAGAAGACACTGGAGATGCTTTGCCCTCCTATTCTGCCAGTGCCAGGAACAAAGAGATCTTGCCATGAAGCTTCGGCATCATTTCAGACATGTGGATCTGCGTGTTGCCCCATTCGTGCTCGGTGTCTTGAATGTTTGTCACAGATCCTTGGCACAATGTTGTCCTGCCATCTAAGAAAAGCCGAGCAACAAGTTCTTGCAGATGGACAGGATCTACATGCGCAGGATGAGGCAATAACATTGCCAGCCACTGTTGGGGATGTCAACTTGGTGCCGCAGACCGCGCCATCAGCCGAAGCATCCGACAGAAGAAGCAGCAGAATTGCCCCAAACACGTCAGCAACGACCACCTCCGTGGAGGCCAGGCCCGAAGAGAGTGGGGAAGTAGCCAGCACCACGGTTGACAAAGCAAGGCAGGTAGTGACATCTGAAGAAGAAGAAATGCACGAGCACAAGTCTGAGGAATGGAATGCGCAGGAAGCGACAACCACCACAGCTCGGCAGATTGAAGATACAAGCCAGACAACCGAAGAGCAACGAAGCGCGTCGCAGGATGATCTTTCAGCACATCCAGAAGGTCGGGAAGCAGCTGCCGAAACAACCACAGAAACAGGAAATCCGTTGGCAGCGGAAGAACCAGGCTACGACGATGAAAGCACATCCACGGCCCCAAGTCCTGAATCGAGCGGCGGGCCAGAGTCAGCAGATGCCCGCGAAGACAGCGCAGCCGACAGTGAAGAAAGCTTCAGGACCACTCCAGAAGTGCAGGCAACCGAGAGTTCTACAACACCTGTGGCTGAGAAGGAATCGCGGGAGAGCAGCTCAAGCACTTCACCCGACTTTTCCTCCACAGTCGAAGAGACTGTGGAGGATGAGGACACATTGTCTGAAGACTGGAGGGGTGATGGCCCAGCGGCGATGAGCGTTCACATGCCTCAAGCACGGAACACCGCGCAGGCCCCGCCAGGCGCGACTAGCTGGTCTGCTGCCGCCGAAAGCAGTAGCACGACACCCAACTCCACGCCACTAGCAGCCACCAGCAAGGAGATAGTCACAGAGACTGTGGAGGATGAGGACACGTTGTCGGAAGACTGGAGGGGTGAAGGCCCAGCAGCGATGAGCGTTCACATGCCTCAAGCACGGAACACCGCGCAGGCCCCACCAGGCGCGACTAGCTGGTCTGCTGCCGCCGACAGCAGCAGCAGCAGCACGACACCCACTTCCACGCCACTAGCAGCCACGAGCAAGGAGATAGTCACAGAGACTGTGGAGGATGAAGACACGTTGCCTGAAGACTGGAGAGGAGATGGCCCTGCAGCGATGAGCGTTCACATGCCTCAAGCACGGAACACTGCGCAGGCCCCGCCAGGCGCGACTAGCTGGTCTGCTGCCGCCGAAAGCAGCAGCACGACACCCAACTCCACGCCACTAGCAGCCACCAGCAAGGAGATAGTCACAGAGACTGTGGAGGATGAGGACTCATTGTCGGAAGACTGGAGGGGTGAAGGCCCAGCAGCGATGAGCGTTCACATGCCTCAAGCACGGAACACCGCGCAGGCCCCACCAGGCGCGACTAGCTGGTCTGCTGCCGCCGACAGCAGCAGCACGACACCTACTTCCACGCCACTAGCAGCCACGAGCAAGGAGATAGTCACAGAGACTGTGGAGGATGAGGACTCATTGTCGGAAGACTGGAGGGGTGAAGGCCCAGCAGCGATGAGCGTTCACATGCCTCAAGCACGGAACACCGCGCAGGCCCCGCCAGGCGCGACTAGCTGGTCTGCTGCCGCCGACAGCAGCAGCAGCAGCAGCAGCAGCACGACACCCACTTCCACGCCACTAGCAGCCACGAGCAAGGAGATAGTCACAGAGACTGTGGAGGATGAAGACACGTTGCGTGAAGACTGGAGAGGAGATGGCCCTGCAGCGATGAGCGTTCACATGCCTCAAGCACGGAACACCGCGCAGGCCCCACCAGGCGCGACTAGCTGGTCTGCTGCCGCCGACAGCAGCAGCAGCAGCAGCAGCAGCAGCAGCAGCAGCAGCACGACACCCACTTCCACGCCACTAGCAGCCACCAGCAAGGAGATAGTCACAGAGACTGTGGAGGATGAAGACACGTTGCCTGAAGACTGGAGAGGAGATGGCCCTGCAGCGATGAGCGTTCACATGCCTCAAGCACGGAACACTGCGCAGGCCCCGCCAGGCGCGACTAGCTGGTCTGCTGCCGCCGAAAGCAGCAGCACGACACCCAACTCCACGCCACTAGCAGCCACGAGCAAGGAGATAGTCACAGAGACTGTGGAGGATGAGGACTCATTGTCGGAAGACTGGAGGGGTGAAGGCCCAGCAGCGATGAGCGTTCACATGCCTCAAGCACGGAACACCGCGCAGGCCCCACCAGGCGCGACTAGCTGGTCTGCTGCCGCCGACAGCAGCAGCAGCACGACACCTACTTCCACGCCACTAGCAGCCACGAGCAAGGAGATAGTCACAGAGACTGTCGAGGATGAGGACTCATTGTCGGAAGACTGGAGGGGTGAAGGCCCAGCAGCGATGAGCGTTCACATGCCTCAAGCACGGAACACCGCGCAGGCCCCACCAGGAGCGACTAGCTGGTCTGCTGCCGCCGACAGCAGCAGCACGACACCTACTTCCACGCCACTAGCAGCCACGAGCAAGGAGATAGTCACAGAGACTGTGGAGGATGAGGACTCATTGTCGGAAGACTGGAGGGGTGAAGGCCCAGCAGCGATGAGCGTTCACATGCCTCAAGCACGGAACACCGCGCAGGCCCCACAAGGCGCGACTAGCTGGTCTGCTGCCGCCGACAGCAGCAGCACGACACCCACTTCCACGCCACTAGCAGCCACGAGCAAAGAAATGGTCGAAGAGATTGTGGAGGAGGAAGACACATCTTCCGAAGACAGGACGAGCGATGGCACGACAACCATATCGACTGCGGCAACAGCCACCACAGCCTCCAAAACAAGCACCCCAACTGCAACGACAGCAACCACGACAACGACCACGACCACAACCACCACAATCACGACAACTACCACCACCACTGCCACCACCACCACCACCACCACCACGACCACCACCACCGCCACACCCACTTCCAGCACGACACCCACCACCACTACCACCACGACCACCACCACCACCACCACCACCACCACCACCACCACCACCACCACACCCACCACCAGCACGACACCCACCACCACCACCACCGCTACCACCACCACCACCACCACCACCACCAGCACCACCACCGCCACAACCACCACCACCACAGCTACCACCACAGCTACCACCACAACTACCACCACCACCACCACCACCAGCACTACCACCACCACCACCACCAGCACTACCATCACGACAACCACCACCACCACCACCACCACCAGCACTACCATCACGACAACCACCACCACCACCACCACCACAGCTACCACCACAACTACCACCACCACAAGCACCAGCACTACCACCACCACCACCACCACCACCACCACTACCACAACCCCCACCACCACCGCGACTACTGTTGCTACCACGACCAGAAACTCTCTTCTGCCATTCAACATTCCCGTCTTGTACCGAGGATGGTACAACTGCCCACAGGGAAAGACATGGCTGCAAGTTCAGGCCAGCGAATGGCCAAAGGCATCAGTTCGTTTCAATCCAACTGCAGAGCAGCACCAACACTGTTCTGGCACTTTTGCAGCAACTGGCAGCTATGATCGTAGGACAAGGGTCCTGCATCTAGAACCAGGAGAGTGGGAAAGCGCAAACCCTTGCGGCTACAGCACCATTCCGTTCACCGGTAAAGTGTCACCGGATGGCCGAACCTTCACAGGGAAAGTTGCATCCACAGGGTGTGGAATGTTCACACTCATCAAAGCCCGAGGCTTGGACATCTCTCTTGCTTAAGTTTGTGCGCTTTTTTGGCGCTGCACGACAATTGCGTCAACTGAGGTTAGAGGATGAGCAACGATGAGCCGTGCAGAGCCCAGAATAGCACGGGACCTTTGATCGCACCAACCTTGCAAATGCAAGCTGAACAAAAGCAAGCGCAACCGTCACTGCTTGTTTTGATTTGATGGAAGCCTTGGCAACCAAGTTGTTCAATGCCACAGCGCGGCAGTTGGGTGACCGTTCGGCTCAAAGCACACTCCTGTGCACCTGAATGCAATATTGCACGTGTCTTGCTTGTTGTGTGCTATGGGCAGCTTAACAGTCTTCACTCCAGTTTGGGACCCCTAGAATTCCAGAATAAGCGATAAGTGGCATGTTGCAGAAATGCATGCAAACCGCGAACCCGCTTGCTGCAGGACTGCTGATTTTCCAGCTGTGCTGGCTAAGGGTTTCGGTTTTGAGTGCTGGCGTCTTGCAAATGGAGATGATGTAGCATGCCATTCCACCAACAACTACTGTTTGATGTTGCTGTTCCTGAAAGGTGCGATGTGCACTTTGGATCGATTGAGCCCAGAAATCGACAAACATTGAGAACATGCGGGTGCACAGAGTCCGAAGCAGAAGCCCCCTTGAAAAGAAGCGAATCTCACGCGTGCAGATGCATGGAGAGAGGTCGCCCCGTTCGTGGAATGTGTCGCCAAGGCTTGAGATTTCAAGTCGCAGGGATGACCTGTCGACTGCTTGTACTTCCAACGTAAAAGATCCGCAATCGGAGACGGGGGGCCGCTGCACCACCCCCCCCCCTCTAAGATCCTAAGGTTTCTCCGGTGAAGTGCTGAGAAATGAAACAGGCTCAGCTGATGCAGTGACAAGAAGAGTCTTTGCTCCATGACTCTATGAAGCTTTCGTGGTTTGAGGGGGGTGGGTTTAGGGCTTCGGGTGCTTGCACCTAGGAGGACAGTCCGGTCAAGTAGCCGGAGAGCCTGACGGCGGAGGTTCTCCCGCCGCCAGCTTTTTACAGGGTTCAAGGGGCGGTATGCAACCCAAGGTTCCCTAATACTCCCTACTACTCCCTGAGGCTCCCTAAGCCCCACCAAGCCACCCAGGGCCGATCCAAGTCCCCCCCCAAAAAACCCCCCAAACCCGCAAAACTCACCCAAAGTCCTCTTCTGGGCCAGGACTACATATGGCTACATGGAGTCCAACACCAACCCAAGGCACCGAGAGTTCAGAGTTCGTTGGCTTATGGGATTGAGTCGCTTTGAAGGCACTGCAGGGCTTAGGGCTTAGGGATAAACCCTAAACCCTATACCCTTAACAACCCTTTTGGGGTGCTTGGAGGCTTAGGGATGGAGGCTCCAAGCCGAGATCCCAAGAGGACTTCGCACCATTCGTAAATTGGGTTTAGGGTTTGAGGTTAAGGGTTTAGGGTTTAGGGTTTAAGGGTTTAGGGTTTAAGGTTTAAGGGTTTAGGGTTTAAGGGTTTAAGGGTTTAGGGTTCAAGGGTTTAGGGTTTAGGGTCTTTTTGCACGCTTCCTCGCTGGCAGATACCGGCATGGCTCTCAGACCGGGCTCAGAAGCTTCCAGCGGGCTTTTCTGCACATGAAGACTATATCCCCCTTGGGAATTATTTTTTATTTTTATTTATATAAAACCCAAGAGGATGTTAAACATCTGATTTTTATTAAGGTTCTAAGGGGAGTATAGAAGAAGCGCCTCGTTGCTTTCAGGGGGCTGTGTTTTAGCAAATTTTTAGCATGCTGGCACTGCCGAGCGTATAGGATTTGCCAACTCAGTCCATCAAGAGAACAGCTTCGAGCTCTCAAGCTGTCAAGCGAGTCAAGCCTCATCAATGAGTTTGTCGCTAAATCCCGAAGCCCCAAACCCGAAGCCCTACCCTCCCAACCTGAACTGCCCAGGGCCCCAACCCTAGCCGGGGAAAAGCTTGGGACACAGGCTGCTGACTACTGTAGGGCTGAAAGGTATGTACTTAGTCACTCATGTCGCGCCGCATTCGGCCTTGCGTGTGGCCTGGAGAT